AAAGCTCATGCTCAAATAAATTGGTTAGTCTCTAAGGTGCCACAAGTACTCCTTTTCTTTTTGCAAATACAGACTAACAGGGCTGTTCCTCTGAAACCTGTCTTTTTGTCCTGTGACTGCAGAGGTGTTAATGGGCCACTCAGCCTTGAATGGTCCCTTACAATATGTGCTAACTTCTTATGCTAAATAATCTGTTCCATCTTGCATTTTGTTGTGAGGCTCAGAGTACCTTTCCCACAGCTGAAGAAGAGGTTTGTATGGTTCAAAAGTTTGTTTCTCTCACCAACAGAAGTTGATCCAATAAAAGGTATTACCTCACCCACTTTGTCTCTCTAATATCCTGGGACTGACACAGCTACAACTACACTGTGTTCCCCTAAATACAGCTGTTTATCCCGTGAAGTTAGTTACAGCAGCCTCAGGGCAGTTTTGGCCCCCAGTGTCTGTTATGTCACCCAGGAATTGCTCTAGCCTCTCTTTGTCCAGTATGTATCCTATTCTGGGAGAACTGAGAAGGAATGGTGTAGAGCTGGCTACATCAGCTCTGCAGGAGCAAGGAATTTCATTCACTCATTCCAAATTAGGGGAGTTTTAAGCAGTCTCATTGGAGGTCAGGATCTCACCCTTAGATTGAAAAACCATTCAGATGATAAAGTTCTCCAGGGCAGATAACCGCTCATATATGTAAAGTGCTTTACAGACACTTGATTTTATACATAAATAATTATAAAGGAAGTAGTAGTAGAGAGGACTGAACAGGAGAAAGTTTAGGCTATAGTCAGTGGAGCCTGAGAGGCCACCCAGGCCATGGCCCGACCACATTTTGGCCAGGCCAAATATGAGTGCTGCTACAACCCTGTGCACGAGGTTGCAATGCTTAGCCAGGCCAAATTTGAGTGAGTGGTATTGCGAGCTGGTTGGGGTTGCAGCACCACTGAAGTTTGTGCCAGGCCATATCACCACTCACTCAAATTTGGAAGGTTTCAGAGTAGCAGCCGTGTGAGTCTGTATCCGCAAAAAGAAAAGGAGTACTTGTGGCACCTTAGGGCCTTTTGTGTTGCAGTAAATAAAGATTTGTTGTACGCTGACTCCCTACGCCACTCAAAATCTTATAATCTTTAAAGCAATTACTCTGTGTTATAAATATGTCTTCCGAGGAATTCATTACACTTTTCCCCTTAATATTTTATAGCAAGACGACATTCACTTCATGTGAAACACCCACTTTGAGCTCAGACAGGTCAATCATCAACAAACTGAGAAGCCACTGTATAGGCATGGAAATGATATACCAAAACTGCTTGTAAGAAGCCATTACCGCATATTGAGTCAAGGGTATCTACATTCATTAGACTCTAGTGGATCTATAATCAAGTAAATGAGCTACAGACCATTAAAGTATAGATATTATTATTCTAAAAAAGCCACTATTATCTATTCTGTGTGCATAATCAGATGCAAATTACTTCCACTGTCTCAAAAATAAGGTAATTGATTTATAGCCTAAAAATATCCAAATAGGTTCTAAAATGAAAGAACATAATTTAATAATATTTCGTACCAATGTGTATCACCAGCAACTTTATATATATCTAATATGCACAATTGTATACATGATGATTTCACATGGCATAAAGGTTTTATTACCATGAGTTTGGGATGGGTATATTACCAATGAACAGCAAAGCAACAAGTGAGCTGTGTAGGTCATTTCAAACGAGAGCCAATACACTCCTTATAGTGCACCACTCCATCGAGTACTCTTCATAAACCATATGTTTAACAGAAAACCTATTCCAGAAATGTTATGTCTGTATTTTTTGGATGCTGGAGTTATGAGCAATTATTGGCTCTCTATGATGTTACTGACTGTGTAGGAGCTGAGCATATCTGTAGCCCATTTGTAGCAAGAGGGGTTTGAAACTGTGGCGGTTTATCCATGTTTCCATATGTAGTTATGTTAATTTTTTTTACTGTGCACATTTCTCCCCTTTTTGGTTTGCCTGGGCTCCCATGTCTAAATGCTTCCTTCTGGATATTCCTTTCTTCTCTTCCTATATGAAGAGTGAAGCCATATTAGAATATCTGTGGCTGTACCAGACTGAAGAAATATTTTGGGGTTCCCTGGATTCTGTACTCAGGAGTCGTGCAGTCCAATGGGTGATTTTTAAGATAACCTGCTTAAATCACTCACTGTAAACACTGATTGGCTATAAGAGGGGTATGCCCTTTCACAGGTATTAAAAGCTTCTGCTGTCAACTACAGCCTTCTTGCTCCTGACCTGAAAGACATTTTGGATGTAATTTAAAGGAGCCTAGGGATGCTTTAAATTAAACAGGCTAGAAATGGGCCTGTAACATTTTTTAAAAGTTCAGAATAATTCCACATGCCAATTCCCCCAAGCTGCGTCCATTTCAAAAAGAATATGCACTCCCTCAGAGAACTCATACACCTGCTTCTCTGATTGGCTTTGGTAAGAGCTATTTCTCTGATCTAGAGCCAGTTCAGAGTGCTTCTTTACACTGCTTTCTCGGTAAGTCTATTTAGTCACTTTAATACCAGCAATCTGAACACATACACTGCTGTGTAAAGCTATTCAAGAAAATGCCTTACAATTATTATGCATTTCCCAGAGATCGTTAAATGTTTTAAATATGTATTTTCTAAACTAATGCACTTATTCAAAGTTGGATTTGGAACAAGCTGTGTTATTTGATACGTGATCATGCTTAAGTAAAATTAACCAATTCCAGTTTTTTGGGGGAGTACATTTCACCAGAGGTAAAAATTAAAGATTTCAGCCATCTTTTACAAGTTTACCATCTCAACAAAATCTAATACAAGATTTAAATATATATAAGTGGATAAAAACACGAATATTTTGATGTACAGTGTCAGTGGAGTTGAAGTTGAAGTCTTCCACATTGTGTGTACTTATTAAGGATTGAATCAAATCTAGACATTATGATCTAGTTTTTAGGCCTGCACAATTGCTTGCATACATCTGTGAATGCACAATTGAAACTTGCATAAATACTCAATGTGCACAACTAACTACCTGTCAGAAAGCTCATATACTTGGGACTCAAACATGTGAGGCAGGGACACAGCAACTCTGTTTTGTCTGTTTTCCCTCCCACGCTGCTCCCTTGATGCCTTTATGCCCCTGTTAGCCAGTTTCACTCTTGATTTGTATGTACATATGGTAAGTTAAGTGTAAAGCCCACATGTGCACTCTTTTTTGAAAAACATCCCTTTTTTTTTTTTTAAACAGCTTTCTAATATCTTTTTCAAGATGTTTAAAGTTAAAGTTAGAAATTAACCATAAAATAGATAAGGAGGGAGGACTCAAAATCAAATTATCAGAAGATCTAAGATTGCTTTTCTTCTGGTTGGATTCTCATTTTAAGGAATGTAAAGCTGTTTTCTGTATAACCAATTTTTTCGGATGATGCTTACTTGGCTATATTTGCAGCTCACCATATATGCGGATAGTTACAGTCTTCCTTGAGCATATTCTGTGACTGAAAACATCTAGAGATTTGGTTCAATAATTTTTATAAGGATTGTCACAGTTGTATGCTTACAAAGAAAAATTAGAACTAAGTATTTAGCAGCAATACAAACAAATCTTTGATTTGAATCACATACAATTTTGTTATTCAAAAGTTCTTTAGAATACATGTGGCAGGTAATGCTTTGTGTGTTCAAAGGTTTTATTTTTTTCCGTTACTACCAGAAGGAAAGGTGTACACAGTTGCTTTTCTAGAAAATGTTATTGTCTACAAATTCTTTCTAACTTACCCTATCTTTTACACCCATTTTTGAATTTATCATCGATGGGAAAAGGCTGTTATGTATAAAGACAGTGGCTTTGTCTTTGTGGCCAGTTGTCCTTTAGACATTACATCTTGGCTTCCAAAAATATTTTAATAAATCAAACTCTGTCCAGTATTGATTTAACAGTGTTCTGTCTCTTGATCATTATTTTTCATTTATCTCAATAAAATGGTCTAACTCAAATAATTTTCAAAATCTTTTATGTAGTAAACAAACATATTTCCAGACGTGAGTCTTGTGTCATTCAACAGCTGGCTGAAAATTGACTTACAGATTCCAGGAATGGAACTTCATTTTCTTTTCACTTTCACCAGTTTTACACTGAGTTAACTTCACTTATGCCTACTAAATTATTCCCTGTTTGCAGCTACATTCAAGGACAATCAGGACGAGAGACTCCACTAAGCTAACTTTTTAGTCGATGTATTTATGAATTTCATTTAAACTTTAAATAGAGCAACCAACAACAATTTTGAGAAATATAAAGACATTTGTTTAATTTTACCCTTACTTGACTTGGCTGTAGTGTACTGAAACATTAGACCATTTTTTCCATAGTACCAGGACAGATACACTACTGTTAAAAAAAATATGACCTACAAATCACATATAGTATTATGTGGAATAGAAGAATATACTGTTTCTTTGACACATGATTTTAGGACTACCTTTAATTGAACAGTTTGCTTTATTAAATATGTATCCTAACAGCCATAGAAATGCAATTCATTCTGTATGGTATTGGGTAAAATAAATGAATTAACCAGTTTAGCTAGTACATATTTTGCTTTTGCTTATTACTAAATAATAATGCTTGGAACTCATATAGTACTCTTCATCTGCAGATCTACAAGCTATTTACAAAGGCTCGTAAACATTATTATCCCTATTTTAGAGATGGAGAAACAAACAGGGAGGTGAAGTTACTTGCGCACAGTCACATAGTGCGTCAGTAAAAAAGCCAAGACTAGACTGAGTCCTACGTCTCCTGATGCCCTGGTTCACTGCACCAAAAAAATTAGTTCTTCAAGTATTGTTAAAGGTAAGTTAAATGTAAGCGCTCACTCCAAATAAACCAAGAAACATTAATATATTTCAAGCTCCTTCCTCAAAGTGTTTTTATAAGCAATCATGAAAAAAAGAACTATTGTATATTTACCCATATCTAGGGTCCAAGGCAATAGCCCTGGGATGCTCCATAGCGCCTGCTATTAATGTTGTTCTCAAAGTGCCATCTAATTTTGCTACTTCGATTTGATCCAAATTGCTGTCTATCCAGTATATGTTTCCTGCAATCCAATCTACTGTAAGACCCTCAGGAGTGGCCAGGCCATGTTGCACTACCACTTCAATGGCACTCACACCTAAGAAAGATCAAAAGGTTGCAAACATATAAAAGGGTTAGAACAGAGGAACAACACTTAAAATGTGATAAATGCATGATCACACTGCGTGCCAAACAAAAATAATTAAAATATGCAAAACTGTATATAAAACTTTTCTGATGCTATAGTTAAGACAGTCTCCATTTAATGAGGAGTCCTTGTTGCACCTTAGAGAATAACAAATTTACTAGGGCATAAACTGTCATGGGCTAAAACCCACTTCATCAGATGCATGGAGTGGAAAATATAGTAGAGAGGTATAAATACACAAGATATGAAAAGATGGGAGTTGCCTTACCAAGTGTGGGGTCAGTGCTAATGAGCCAATTCAATTAACATGGAAGTGGGCTATTCTCAACAGTTGACAAGAAGGGAGGAAAAATCACTTTTGTAGTGCTAATGAGTTCAATGTAATCAAGGTGGCCCATTTCAACCAGTTGACAAGATGGCGTGAGTATCAGCAGGGGGGAAGATTCATTTTTGTAGTGACCTATCCACTTCCAGTCTTTATTCAGGCCTAATTTGATGTTGTCCAGTTTGCAAATTAATTGCAGTTCTGCAGTTTCTCGTTGCAGTCCGTTTTTGAAGGTTTTTTGTTGAAGAATTGCCACTTTTAAGTCTGTTATTGAGTTCCAGGGAGACTGAAGTGTTCTCCTACTGGTTTTTGAATGTTATAATTCTTGATGTCAGATTTGTGTCCATTTATTCTTTTGTTTAGAGACTGTCTGGTTTGGCCAATGTACATGGCAGAGGGGCATTGCTGGCACATGATGGCATATATCACATTGGTAGATGTGCACGTGAACGAGCCCCTGATGGTGTGGCTGATGTGGTTAGGTCTTATAATAGTGTCCCTTGAATAGATATGTGGACAGAGTTGGCACTGGGTTTGTTGCAGGGTTTGGTCCCTGATCCCCCATTCATTCCCCATTCATTCTCTCCATTTAATGAGTCTTTATGCATATTTTTCATTGAGAGACCACATAATAGCTAATCTGACATGATATTTATCTTCATTAGTTATTTTTCTTTTCTCACAAGTAATGAGAGAGTATGTGCTTATGTATAAAATATATTTTGGGTCAATATCTTGAAAAATGAACTGTTTTAGTTTACAGGAATAGGAAACAGGGGAAATTTAGAAATCAAATTTCTGAACATATTGAAACTTTAGATAATGTGTGATTTTGTTTGCTAGGTTTTCAGTGAAAGAACACTTAGGTGCATATCAACCTAGAAAACATTTTTATGAAAGTATTTCTACATACACTGTGAGAGTATGATGTGCTATAGGCCAGGACTACATATATTGTGGTTGGGTCACCACGTTAAAGGCCTCGTATTTCTGCATTTGTAAAAAAAAAAAAAAAAAAAAAAAAAAGCTATAATATTGTGTACCAGAATCTAAAGTATCACATTAAAAATTAAGTCTCTAGACTTTACAGTTCCAAAGATAATATTCAAGTTGTAAACCAAGCATAACTAAACCAGTGACACCTGCCTGATTTTGGAGATAACCTAAAACAATTGCTCTCAGAGGAGTAAGAATAATAGCTTGGCCAGAATCTGAAGAGTCTGATGTACTATGGTTGCATTACTTTGGCTGGTACTCTCTTTTTAAGGACCTACTAAAATAAGTCAAAAGTTAAATTCATACCTCCAGTTTCAGAAAGCTTGCCTCGGTAAATTTTATCTTCCACCACATCTGTCCAGTACAGTAAGCTCTGATTGAAATGAAAATCAAGTGCTATTGTGTTTCTTAAACCAGGAACTAAGAGACTGTAGTCTCGCTTCTGAAGATCAATCTTTCTGATCTCGTGACGAATGGAAAAAATGATGAAAGCTTCAAATGGATCTGGAAGTACAATGGATTATACATTAAAATGTATAATAAAGAGTATAATTTTAGTAGACTTACTGATATAAGGCACACATAGCTGAACGAGAATGGCAGAGTACTTTATTGGAGGAACAATTTGATTAAAATAATAGATCTTGTAAGCCTTACTAGCTCATTCATTTTCCAACAAAGAGTAAATTTTGCAAATATATATAATTCAGACCAATTTAGACTTCTGCTCACCTGCCTCAACTAAAGGTGTTGAATGGATATTAACAACAAGGATATCTGACTCAGTCAGTCAGCGGTCCACAGGCAAAACCCAAAGAATGTCTTCTGGATGAGAGCTAAGTGGTGGAGTTCTTTCCTCCCCTCTCCTCTCCCTCCCTGGACTTCCAGGATTAAGGCCAGAAAAAAAGTTTAAGCTATCAAAATTAAAATAAGAACTTCGGTGAAGTTTTTACTTTCTTAAATGCTTCAGAGAAAATAAGTCTGTTAAAAGTTATCTAGTATTGCTCTAATTAACAATTAGTTGAAAACTATGTACTGCAACTAATATAATACAAAAAAGATTACTTTGTGTGAGTTAAACTGCATAAACAACTTATCTAACACAAAACCACAAAAACAAGGAATTGTAAAATTAAGGCATCTAACAGCACACAACTTCTTCAAATTCACCACCACTACCACAAACAGACCAGACTTTCCCTCCACTAACCATTCTGAACTGTTCTTGAAAAATAATACTCACTTGTGTTTTGAGAAAGGGTGCTAGAACCCTGGCTTCTCTACTGAGACAGAATTGAGGATATTTTGTATTGTCTGGTGCATGGCATTTGTTCTACTGGTGAAATGTACGTCTCTGGGTGGATGAGTAAAAGGAATGTAATGTTAGATGCCTTAACTTTTTATTTCCTTGTAGCTGTGGATTTGTGTTAAGTATGTTATGTATGTACCCTTAACTCACACATAATGCAGTGCTAATTTAAGTTAAGAAAAGCTGTCAAACACAGCAATGACTACTTTCACAAAGAACAAGATCTCTGTCAAAGTGACCAGCCAGGTCTGGAGCAAAAAAAGAAAATCTTAATGAAATTATCCAGCCAGTTCAAGAACTCTGCTTTAAAGAACAGAGACCTTTGCAAATATTATTTTATTTTGGAAAACAGACATTGCTTTCTTGAAGATCTTCCTCTACAATGCAACAATAATACCGCTGAACTAGTAAAATCTCTTTTCCTCTACCATACTAGGCTTCAGTTTTGGATGGTATGCGTATTACTGGGGGAACATGACAACAGGCAGGATTTCAGTGCCTTCTAAGGTGTCGAAAAACAGAGTCAGTCAAAATGTTTCAAAAAAGAAACTTTTCACTTCCTTTTAAAAAACTAAACTTTTTCATGGTCTGCATTAACTAATAATTGCACATAAAGATTCAGTTGTGACTTGTAGCACACTAAATAATCATCTACAACAGAATAAGGGTTCCTTACATGAAGAGCAGTATTTGCCTCTGAACCAACAGGCACTTTCACAAAGCTTCTCATATTTGTCAAAGCAGTGTCTGATTTTGCAAATCCTGAAATAGCTGAACTATATGATGATCAATAAGCTCTTCAACATTAGCAGCTGTTGCATCACAAAGGTCAAAAGCTCATAAACTTGATGAACAATTTAATTAAGCTCCTGATCTTTGACAAATCAGCAGGTATGTTGTAGAGTACCCTGTTCATCATAAATCTTGTCCTTTATTGGCTAACTGTGGCACAGAAAGACTGTGTTATGTCAGCGAGAAAAATCATGCAAACTCCGAAGATGAAATTTTTGGCCCTTTTTTAAATCAACTAGAATTTGGGAACTAAAATTAACCAATTCTCTTCAACACTCCCCCTCCGTCATCCCCTCCCCCACATCTCCTGGGGCAGAAAATTCAGGTTTTACTCAACAGATTATCTTCTGAAACTTTGGGCCAGGTATTTTGTGCTTTATGGATTTAACTACTGTTTTAAGTGCAAAACAGAATGCAGCCTTAACCATGGCAACAACAGTTCTGCTATAGTAATACAAAGAATGTTTAAGAAATAGAGCTGGACAAAATAGCTTCTTTGCTCTATAAATAGTCATATATTTGACAAAAAAAATGCTTATAGGCAACATGGTTTATGATGTTTACACAATTACTCTTCAACAAATACAAATTATAAATAAAGAAATGCAGCTGATGCACAAAAGAGAAATGTCTTGCTGTGCACAGAACAGTTTATATGCAGGAGGATCCTAGATTGAAAAAAATATTTTTTTTCTAATATCATATGGTATGAGAAGTTGGGCTACACAAACCACCCATGGCAAAAAATAAAATGTGGGACAAATAGTAAAGTGTAATTTTCCTGCAATGTTTTTATTCTGGTATTCTGTTTTAGATGGGTCGTTAACTGAAATGTCACTGTCACTGGAGCTTAGGCTGAGGTGCATTACCAGACTTATTTGTTACCTTATACTGTGCCTTCTCTAACCATACGTCCAAAGCAAATCAATGGAGAGGTCTGTGCAAAGGGAACTCCTGCACAAATGTGATGTGGTTGAGTCCACCAGTGTGGAGAATTTTTTATTTTGCTTGGCATTGTAAGGCACTTGTTTATACTATGTCTGTGTGGGATGTGTAGTATCCTGAGCCAGCCCTTCAGGCATCACATGTGTAATCTGGTGTGCTTGACAACAAATGCCATTGCTGACATATGGCCTAACAGTTGGAGGCAGATCCTGGATGATGTCTGTGGGCTGCTTACATTTTCGTGATTAGGTTGACTACAGTGGTAAATCTATAAGTGGGCAGAAAGGCTGTAGCCAGAGAGTAGAGGTAGGCCCGGATGAATTCCAGTATCAGCACAGGTGTGAACGTTGATTTTTGTTGGTTTATTTGTAGACCCAGCTGTGTGAAGAGAGCTAATGTCTTTGGAGTAGCTTCTAGTGCCTCTTCTCAAGTCTACTCTGAAATCTTCTCAAATCGTGGCTTTGAGTAACCACTCATCCAGATAGGGGAATATTATGATCCCTTGTCTGCTGCGGTGAGCCGCTATCACTGTGAAGACTTTTGAAAATACCTGTAGAGCCATGGACAAGTTGAAAGGGAATACTTTGTATTGGAAATTATCCATTCCCACAACAAATCTGAGAAACTTCCCGTGTGAGGGTGAATCATTATGTGGAAATATTCATCCTGGAGTTCAAGGGCTGAGAAGCAGTCCCCTCATTCTAGTGCTGGAATTATCATTGCTAGCATGACCATCCTGAATCATTCAGTCTTCATGAATTTGTTGAGTCTTCTTAGGTTGAGAATGGGTCTCCATCCTCCATTTTTTTTCTGGGTTAAAAAATAATGGGAGTAGAAACCCTTCCGTCTGTGTTGTGTAGATACTGGTTCTATTGCGCCCAGGCATATGAGATGGTTTACCTTCTGTCATAATAGGTGTTCGTGAGAAAGGTCTCTGAAGATGGATAGGGACATAGGGTGTGTAGGGGGGGATGGAGGTAAATTGGATGGAACAGCCAATCTTGATAAATTCTATTGTCTAGATTGTCTGATGTGACATTTCACCATGCTGCATGGAATGGGGTCAGATGGTCTACGAATGGATGGATGGTGTTGGATGGGTCCAGCAATAGAAAGTGTGGGAGGTGTCTCCGGTCCTTGACCAAATCCTCAAAACTTCTGTTTAGAGGGAGGTTGTTGGGATATCGAGGCTGAGTAGGGAGTGGTCTCCAACTTGTGGGTCTCTGCCTCCACCTTTGTGGGTAGTATTGCCTCTAAGGCTGGGTGTAGGGTGAAGATCTTGTTCTTTGTACTCCCCATTTCTTCTTTTGTGTAGGTGTATATATGCCAAAGGATCTCAGTGTCATCCTGGAGTCCTTCAACATGTGAAGGGACTCATCTGTTTTGGTTGAGAACAGTTTGGGGCCTTCAAATGGTATGTGCTCAACAGTAGATTGTACCTCTTCAGGAAACCTGATAGAGGGAGCCAGGAAACTTGCCACATGACTATGACTATGAGAGCCTCATTGTTGGATAAAGGAGGAGCTAACCTGGTTGGTGTTGTAAGCTGGCATGATACCAAGTGTACTGGAGTAATGTCGATACTGAGGAGTGGGGATTCTGGTGCTAACAAGACCAAAAGGTCTTTATGCTGGAGAAACTGCTGCAGTACAGAGAGCATTGGTACTGAGGAGGGTGTTATTGGCAGTACCGATGCCTTTACCACAGCAGTCAGTGCAGAGGTATGCACTGTGCATTGTGGAGGCAAGAGGTGGTTCTATAGTTTGTAGCACTGCTGAGCTGCTTGTTGCCACATGTCTGAGCAGCTGCTGCGGACCTGAGGCAGGGCTTTTGTGCCTTTGTCTGAGCTCATCCGCCTAGAGTCTTTGGCTTGCATGGTATCTATGGAAACGGATGATCCTGCCTCAGAGATGGATGGTCTTGATGCAGTTGGCACCGAGGTAGTCTGACGGGTTGGGGAACGTTTCTTTTTGGTGAGTTCCTGAGAAGGGGAGGTTGGAGACTGTTTTTTGTTTCCTTCTTGGAGGAATGCTCCTTTCTCTCACAGAGAGATGATTAATCTTTGTCAGATACCACCGTTGGAGACCAGTGGCCAGGAGGGGTTCATGATCCCATACTGGACACCGCGTGCAGACTTCTCCATCGTGAGGAGTTTTAGCTCTAAATTCCTTGCTTTTCTGGTGCAAGCCTTCATATCATGGAAGTGGGAGCACCAGCAGACATACTGTGAATGTCGATCAGACTGGCAAGTGAGGGAATGTTGAAAACCAGGAAGCCAGGCATGCCCCTTCGAATAGGGTTTCTCCCATGAGGGATGGTAACTATACTATATTAAGGGGTATACAAATAACTGAAACTTAAATTCCTAAGAGGGGAAAAAATAAATAAATAAAGTAAGAAAAAGGTAGGGTAGTTAACTATTTAACTAAATAACTGGGTTCTAAAAAACTAATACTCTAAAGATATCAGCTAAACTAAAGATAATCCTGAGAGGCTCTGACGATTGCTCAATCTCATGCAGATGGTGGTAGAGAAGGAACTGAGAGGGGGGTCGGTCACACTGCACTGTGTAACTGACAGAAGTGGCACAAGATGGGAACACTGCCTGTGCGACCCAACCAGGCACTGTTACTGAAATTCTCCAATTACAAGCACAAGAACTCAGATTCTCCTAAAGTGGAGCACTCACAGGGACATTCCTTTAAAAAGAGTATATATTCCTGATCTCACACTGCAGTAGTAAACATCTTTAAATTGGTCAGTGGAATGGTAGGAAAAAAGGTTAAAATGAACACCTTAAAACGTTTTTCCCATTGTGGATGGAGCTCAGGGTGGTTTCTGTGTGATTTGAAAGGTCAGACAAATGAACTGTATCTAATAGAAAAGGTAGCAAAAAATTAGAAGATGACCCAGAAAAGTTGACTAAGAGATAACAATGGGAATAATCTGGAATAAATCAAAGAGCTCAAATCAAATTCTACTTTGGAATAAGCAAACAAACTCCTACTGAATTTGAAGAAAACTCAATGAGAATTATCTAATCCAATGGTAGTTGCAAGGAACTCTTTAATTTGAGTTATACTGAATATATTTTAATCTTAATTCATTATTTTAGAAGAACAAACTAAAAAGTAATTATTTTGATAAGGTGTAATTTGTACTTTGGCATGCTGTTAATTGGAACTAAATTGTGACTACACCATAACTGTAAAGGATATGTAATGAAATGTTTGAATTAGCTCAGCTACTGTCAAGTTAGATGGTTTCTAATAGGCCATTTACAAAATATCTGAATTGGGTATTAATGAAATTATCTCAGGTGACTGATAATGTGATACACAAGCTTTCATTTCTAGCTCATTTGTTCAAAAATGGCCCATGGAATGAATGTGAGAAAAAGGTGAGCAACTGGAATAATTTCTTAGTGGTGAAATCTAATGACCTGTGAAACAGTCACCAAAAAGACTTGGTGAAGCATCATAGTTTAGAGATATTTAAAATCAGAGTTGTCAAAAATATGAGAAAAATAACCGTAAGGAACAATCCTCAAATGGCAGGTGGAAGCTCTAAGTCAGCGGTTCTTAACAATAGGTATGAATACCCTTGAGGGTACGCAGAGGTCTTCCAGGGGGTACATCAACTCATCTAGATATGTGCCTACTTTTACAACAGGCTACATAAAAAACACTAGCAAAGTCAGTGCAAACTAAAATGTTATACAAAGACTTGTTTACACTGCTCTATATACTATACAATGAAAGGTAAGTACAAAATTTATATTCCAATCAATTTATTTTATAATTATATGGTAAAAATGAGAAAGTAAGCAACTTTTCAGTAAGTGTTCTGTGACACTTCTGTAGTTTTATGTCTGATTTTGAAGGCAAGTGGGTTTTAAGTGAGGTGAAAGTTGGGGTATGCAAGATAAAACAGATTCCTGAAAGGGGTACAGTAGTCTGGAGAGGTTGAGAACCACTGCTGTAGGTAACCCAGTAGCTTTCATTTAATATCCAAGCTCCTCTAGGCAGGGGCAGGGACTGTCTTTCTATATTTATATTGCAACTAGCAAACTGGAGCCCTTATTATCCTGATTTGGGCCTCTGGGCATTATAATTATGATGCAATTATAATATTATGATTATTCTATTCCCATAGAAGAGATGACACCCTCCATTAAAAGTTATGGTCCAGACTCTCTACTGAGGTCCAAAGTAGAAGGACACTGGATCTCAGATCCCTGGAGATTAATCCTATTTTACTGGTTTTTACACTTCCTATTAGAAGGAATAAGGAACCTTACAATAGTGAAGAAGCCCTAAATCTCAGCTTACCAATACTAGTGCAACTTTCACCATCATTACTGATCTTCCAGCCTTCATAACAGGAGCACTTGACACTATGTTTGTGCTGTTCACACACTTGACTACATTTAAGATGTTTGGTACAGTAATCCACAATTTCACAGGTTTTGTTGTCTGGATTTAGATAAAGTCCTGTAGGGCAGGAACACACAATTCTTCTTCCAGGAACTACAGAACACTGGTGGCTACATCCACCATTGTTAAGCGAACATTCATCTGAAATAACAGGAAAAGAACATTAAAAATTGCAAACAATATCAACTGTATTATATTATACGTTTTAAGACCTTCTCGGTAATAAAAGAAATTAAAAACCTCAAGTAATCACTAACTGAATTTAAATCTGGCTGAACAACTATTTGTTTGGAATACTTATGCAGAAAAGTAGTGCATTCAATTTGCATACATCTGAGGTTGCATTACTGTTAGAGGATAGCAAGTTTTTAGCATTGTAGAACTACAATATATATTATAAATTTTGACAGATTATCAAAGGAATTTTACCATTCACGTATTCAGTACACTTTGTATTTACTGGATGGTACACTTCTTGTCTCATTTACTTAATGCTACCATTCTTTGGGCTTCTTGCTTACTATTTATGTATGGGTTTTTAAAAACAGTTGCAAAAAAGAACAACAGAATTTTCAGACAAAAGCTACATTAAGATGGGAGTAAAGGTTGACAATATATTTCAGAGTAAAATACATTACAGGGATGTTGTAATCTCTCCAAAATAAGCATTTAGTGTCCAAATCTGCCCTGCAGTGACACCATGAGAAAAGGAGGTCGGGGGGGAACATTATGTGTCTAACCTAATCTGGAACTACAAACACTAAAATGTGTTCATTGTAATTGCATAGCTATTGCATGGTGTTATTACAGGACAGAGTTAAGGTGCCCTAACTTTACATTTCATATTTTCACATGGTTGGATTTTGTTTAAATTGGCTAAAGGCTATTTAGCTCAGTGATATCCTTTTCTGTTCCTAACCAGTGTACACTAACCCCAAATATGTCTTGGAATGCATTTAGTGTCTCAGCACACTTGGCTCTGTGTCGAAGTGCCTTATTCCTTCAGCAATCTGAGGCTTCAGTGCCTTGTTCCTTATGTTCCCTGAGTCTTCTGTGTCTTGTATTTCCTAAACGTATGCATGGATGGTCTCTGGGATTAGGAGGCAAAGGGTATGCTTTTCTCCAACAGATTCTGAGTCTGCTCTCAGTTACATTTGTGCATCCCTGTGGTGACTACAGTGGTGTCAAAGAAGCCAGTGTGAAAGGAAATTCAGGACCTAGTTCTCCATTTTATTTTATTTTATTTTATTTTATTTAAAGAATGCTGTGAAAACAAACACTAAAGAACATTAAGGAGCTCGTCCTGCATTTCCTATAAGTACGAATGTCAATGTGAATTTTGGGAGTACAGGACAGGTGCACTAATGTATTTATTTACTGAAAGTTAGATTTTCTTCTGAATCTTCTAATTTATTCATGCCTCTTAGCTAGTCTGATTCACATGTATCTCTAAAACTGAATTTTACATGTGCACAAGAAAATATACACAATCCAGTGGTCCTTCTATAGAACAGTTTCCCTCGTGATTTTTTAAAACAGTTCCCTTTCTTCTTAGGGTCTTTATTTTTCCAGACTTCAGGGTTCTCAATGATGGGGAAAAAAGGGAACAAATTCATTAAAATAACACTGATAGGCAAACGTGCTGCCAATATCCTGCAATGCATATTAACACTTTAAGGCAACAGTCATAAATACCCGCATGCTAATTAGTAAATGAGTAGTAAACCACTGTTGAATAATAACTTATTATCATTATCTTAATCCCAGAAAATCTCAAAGGGACATGGCTTCTTTGCAGTCCAAATGCCACCTGGATCAATCTCTGCCTTGGTGCCTAAGGTGGTCTGGCTATGTTTATGTCAGTTATGTCTATCACTGGCAATCTTATCGCACCACCAAAGCTTGATCTCTGTAGTGGCATTCCTTGGTACACATGATCCAGAATTTGCTGATCATCCGTTCTAATAATATGTCCATACCAAGGAAGCTGCTGAAACTAGTGCTGATAGAGGTGGTTGCTGGGTTTGGCTTCAAATATCCTCATTTGTGTTCCTGTTGTGACACTTGATCTGGAACAGCAGATGAAGATGATGAGAATCGAAAATGTAAATACAGTGTTCTTTGGCCTTCCTCAGGACCCATGTTTTACTGCCATACAACAGAGTAGGTATAATTGTGGTTCTATAGATCCCCAGCTCTTTGGCAAGTTTGATGTCATGACATCCCCACCAAAGCCGCTGAAGCATGCCTGAAACCTGGCAGCAGCTGCTGCTATATGAGTGTCCAAATCTTTCAGGCAACTTCTAGCATGGTCTATGATGATGCCCAAATATTTGAGTTGCCACCTGCTCAATGTCCTGTCCAGACAAGTAAATATTGAGTTAGCTGTAATCTAGCGCTGGAGGCTGTTTGATGGTAATGGTCAGGGATTTAGTTTTATCCAGATTCATAAGGTCCAAAGTGTGTCGCTTCTTGCTCAACTAGATCAGCCATCAGCTTCAGCAATTCACCAGATTGAGTCAACAACAGAGTGTCATCAGCATATTAGAGATCTCAAAGCAGAATGGCATTCTGCTCAAAACCACCTACAGCTGCCTCCTCAAGCTTACCAATCAACTAATTAATGCTAATATTGACCAACGATGGTGCAGAGCGCTGCCTTGCCCAACTCCCATGTAGATAGGAAACCATGCTGTGAAACTGCCATTCACTCAAACACAGATTTCTATTCCTTTATAGAGCTCTTTTATCAATGACACTACTTTCCCAGATCCCACAAACTTCCTGGTTGCCTCATCAGATCTCCCAAACCTGCTCAATGCACTGAATCGAAGGCCTAATTGAGGTCTATAAAAAGTGCTATGAATGGTTTATTAAATTCAGCAATACAGTACAATACAGTAAATATATGGGGGCCGATCCTGACTCTTATGTGGTGCTCTGGCAGCATATATGGGTCCTAAAGGGGTTACTATCACTGGGAGTTAATGAGATCATTATGTGCCTTGTCTCTCAAGCCAAAGAAACTTTACTAGAGCATTAACAAGGAGTTGTCCACCTGAGGACATAAAAACCTGTACTCCTGTAATCACTTCTCCTTTCCTACCTTTCAGCCATTCCATTATTTATTATATATATATTACAGTATTGCCTAGGAGCCCTAATCACAGAGCAGGACATCATTATGCTGGGCACTGTACAAACATTGAACAAAAAGGCAGTCCCTGCCCCCAAAAAGGAAAACTAAGTATAAAATAAGAAAGAACAGATGGATTCAGAAAGACTAATGGTGGAGTACAAGGAAACAGTGAGATAATATTGGACAGCATGATAGAGTATGCTCGCCAGAACAGTCCTCTTTTTACATTTCATCTAAAGGATGAGCATAGTGCATCTTAATAACATGCAATGTCAAATCTTCAGTACTGACTTAGAAGAAAGAATGACACCCGTGGAATAATTAAAAAAAAACACACCCCACAATTTTTTTGCAGTATACTAATATGTTTCGGGGGGGGAGGGGGGGAACAAACCCTCCCATCTAAGTAGTGATCTAATTCAACAGTGGTTAAGTTTGTGTTGTGTGACAGTATTATAGGCACACTTAAGTACAGGTGTTCTTATATGTGTAAGAGAGCTTTCCAACTGCTTATGGCTACAACCATGTACCTTGTAAGGGATGTTTTAAGAGATTAAAAGATAGGTTCTTAGATTAGAGAACCTATGTTGTTCACCACGCTTCATTTTGGAGAGGCTTGATACAATTTCAAGCACAACATGGACATTAAAATAAAATGCACAAATTACTCGTGAGAAAATTTAAATACCCTGCTAACATAAGATTCTTTAGAAAGGGAAGATGGAAACAGAAAACATGAAGTGGTATTAGGGAAACAAAATAATTTTGAATGCTTTATAGATGTGAGTGCGCCTAAAAAGAAAATACCACAGAGGTCGCCTTCATCAGATCCATCAGGACAATCTCTTCTCCCATTACAGAGCTTCTCAGGCTGTAGGCAGATGGAGGTATCATTAGCACAAGGATATTTTGGTGGTCCACACATATAGCTCTCGCAATTATCCTCATCAGACTGATCGTCACAATCAATATCTCCATCACATAGCCACGCTTTGCTAATGCATCTCCCTTGGAGAAAAGAGACAAACACAAGAAATCAGACTGAAAATAAACATAGGAAAACCTATGGTAACATTACAGAGAAATCTACTGTTGTATTACATTTTAGCATTAATGGTCTCTCTTTCTAAATTAACAGAAAGGCTCTGAACAAGCTCAGCTTTGTATTTTAAGTCATCTACATCTAAATAGGCAGTCTTAATTTCTTGACCAATGTCAAACCTAATAGGTTCTATGTTCAATGAAACTGCATGCAGGCAGCTATGCAACCTAAGTAAAATATACTGAATTACAGTTGTATAGGTTGCCCAAAATTGTTACAATATTTCTTCTCCTGCTTTCCTCCCCATTTTCTTTTCTCTCCACCCCCACTCACCCCTAGTAAGAGCAAGATCCCAATCTGACACAGACTTAAACTAGTAGTTACCATGAACAAAAATAGTCTAATAATTATATACAATATGTTTCCATATAATGCCAAAGCAGTAATCATACTTCAAATTTTAGCCAATGATTTTAGTTTATTATCCATGTATTGTGTGATGTTACGATTAATGAACATGATATATATAATTATTGTATGTTAAATAGAGTTAAACTGTTGGTTTATAGAAGTATAAAATTGATCAGTACTTAGATTGATAATTTATTAGATATCTACGTCAGAAAGGCTGAAACACAAGACCTGTAGGGTGAGGCCTTCCAGATTCTAGCTTACCTAATTTAGGCTTTGGAGATAAAAAATGCTGTCATAAGTTAGTGACCAAATAATAACCCGATGCCCTAAGATTATGAGGAAAGTGGTACCAAATGATAATATTGCAAAAAATTAGCTGGAAGATTAATTTTAAATAATAAAAATGCTGTAGAGGCACATCTGTTTTCAACATGTGCCTTAGCACAGGATACAAGTTGTACGTCAACGCTAACGAGAATAAAGAGAACCTATACAACCCATAGCGTTTGGGATCCCTTATGTTTCTAGGGGACACAGACCAATAAGGGAAAAAAGAGGGCTGACACTTCCATGCACATGTGCGGAACATAGGTATAGACAGAATTACATTATAAAAAAGGGGGTGCCCAAAGTGGGAAAATTGAGCTTCCTATGGGAGAACTCCAGCAGGAACCATCCCTGTACGGATGGTCAATCCATGAGAGAGCCATCAGTCTCTAACACTGTCTAGGAGGATGAGAATATGTTTGTAGCTGTAACTGGATGGATATATCTAGGAGTTGTATGTGCTGTGACATTCATAACTTTGTTGGTAACTTTAATAAAAAGGATAAAAGATAGTGGACCTTGTTCTTATGATTGTTCTTGTGTTACTGGCCTATGGTTTCATGTGTTCCTATGAGTTCTACATCTAATGCAAGCAGAGAGAACTCTGTTGAACTTGAGACAGAGCTGCCAGAGCCGAACCCTCCATGGGGTGACATCACTGAAATTAACTTTAAATGAAATATTTCTAGCAAATGAAACACTTTCACAAAGTTTTAAATAGGCAATACCCAACTCATTTCCTTCACTGGAAATGACTACACAAGGGAAAAGTGTACTCCAGTTTATGCTACACGTGTATGTTAGAAATGTTACAGTTGCAGCATTGTCTGCTGATAGAGATAGGGTTTGTAAACTCTCAGAAGTATATGGCTGTGGAAGTGGAGTCACTTGGGGTAAAAACCCACATCTATACAAATCCATGCCAAAAAACAGATCCCCCACAATTGTTCACACACGCTGACAGTTGCCATCAAGCTCTGATGCCACTGTCTCCAACTATTCATCAGCACATTTCAATCTCCTTTTAATGGTGTTTATGCTAGTCAGACAAGCATTAAAGCTGGTAATGTGCTTAGGAATTGTAGTTCTTTATTGAGACAATGCCACCATCCCAGGTTCCTCCTTCTTTCTGCCAGGAAACTCCTCTCTCTCTATCCCCACCACAGTACATGGACTAGTCATGCAGAGGGACTTTCAGAGTTGATGGGAGAGGGGAACATGCACCTCCCACCTCTGGACCCAAATATTTTAAATACTTCTCATCATCAGTTTGTATTTTCAAATAAATATTTTTAACAGTCAAAACTTTTACTAACACACATGTAACAGAGCACTGGTCTGCAAGGGCAGGCAGCACATCTGTTACAGGGACATAGCTCCTTTAAGGCTGCTCATTGTTGGGAGTTGTAGTCTTCAGAAAGGGCACATAATGGGAATGGGTCAGCTGACTACGTATCATGGGACTACCTGTTGAAAGCTGTATAAAGAAATACTCCTGGCTCAGTCTCAAGAAGATAAGGCTTGAGACAATCTCTCTGGGGACGTGGCAAGAGGCCCACACAATAATCAGGAAAGGTTACTCAGAGAGAAGGTTATGTCCTCTCCTCCCAGTTTGCTAAAAACTAGAATGGCCTTTGATGGCTGGGATCAAGTGATTTGCTCATTTTAAATCCTTTCGTGATAATAAAGCTGGCCTTGGGTAAAGGACTTTGGATTGAACTGCAGTTTGGGCATTATTTTACCTTCCTTAGCTGGTGTTTTCTGCTCATCAACTTACAGCACAGTACTCTGTATGAAAGTATACCATAATGTATATTAGGCAGCGGCAAACTAATTCAGATGATATAAGAACAAATTCATACTTTCACTTAAAAATTGGATTATACTAAATCTGATCTTTCTTGAGGTTTGAAAAGAATTGAGTTCATGTTTGTTTTCCTCTGATCTTCCGGGTTTTTGCCAAGACCACAACCATAAATAGCAAAATACAATGAGAGTCAGTCTTATGATTAAGGCACCAGACTGGGATTCAGGAGTTCTGGCTTCAATTTCCAGCTCTGCCACAGACTGCCTGTGAGACCTTGTGCAAATGGTGAAAGACCCACCATTTAAATGTTATAAAACTACACATAAAGCACTCATGAACATCCTGTACTAAATAGGAATAACCCCAAAATATTAAAATACCCATACATTTAAAAGCAATTTAATATTTATTTATGCTTACCAATCCTGAATTACACATAAAAGAGCATGGCAAAAGGTACATTACCAAGGGGATATTTCACTGTGGGGTAACAGTATAGAGTACAAAGAATTAGGAGCTGGATCTGGAGGACGCTGAGCACTTTTGAAAGGTGCTGAGCACCTCCAATTCCTATTGATTTTAATGGAAGTTCAGGGTGCGGTGCACCTCATAAAAACGCTCAGCATCTTCCAAATTGGAGCCCAAAGCACATCCATCATTCCACTGACAACAAAGGGAACTGTAATCGTTATTCCTCCCAAACTGAAAAAATGAACAACTTTGTTTCTACCTACTCACTTACAGTTACACAAGTAAAGAATAAATAAGTTAGAGCAACCAGGAAACAAAGTTGTATGCATAAACTTAAATACGTACATTCAATCAAAAGTGCTTCTAGAAAACTTCCATCTTCATCTTTACCTTGAAAAGAACACTGGAATTTAAATACCATCACAAAGACAGAAGCAGCAAAGAAAATAATGGAAAATGTTTGTGCCATGCAAATTGGCCATATCCCAAAGTAAATTGATGTTGATTCCAGTACAGCCTCTAACCTCTATTTCAATCTGTTTTATAGATACAGCCGCTTAAAGAACAAACCTGTTTACCTGACTTTTTTTCATGTTAATGAAAAGAAGATATATTCTATAACACAGGATTCCTCTTCAACTATGATAGGTTTGACATATATTTATTAAATAAAAGAATATACTTATGTGAACAAATTAATTTTGTCCAGATTTAAATAAGGCACACATATTTATGTCTATATTGATGTCATTATTTCAAATTATTGCCCTAGCATGAGACATACATTTTTTATTTTCCAGACACCTTTTCTAGTACAAGAGCTGCATCAATTCATATGCATATATCTACTGTTTTCCATATCTCTTATACACATGAAGATAGATGTATTGTCTGCAATGTACGCAATAAAAAGGCCTCAAATAATAGGCATAGGTATGCTGGAAAGCTTGATCAAAATGCATTTTCTAGTGGTTTTGATTGTCTATGAAAATTAGCAATCCTAAACAGAGACTTAACATTTACATACTGTTCGGTATGTGGAGCATAGGAAGCCTTTGGTTGTATTGTCTACTGAACTGCAAGATGACAGTTTTCTACTAGTATCTAAAATACTGGTATCCTCCCATTCTACACTAGAGGTTCCCATTGAAATTAGGGAGTGTTTTCTCCCCCCAACTCATCAGGAGCAGGCTTTATTAATGACTGCAATGGGTCATCTTATTTGTTTCAATATAGTCATTTTAACCTACTTCATTTCAAGGAGAGTGGGAGGAGAGAGCAATATTGTTATTTAAAGGCTTTCCCAAAAGCAATAATTTGTTCACCCACATCAAGTGTGCCTCTTGGCTATTACGCCAGGAGAGGCCATTTCAATTCCCAAACGGGATAACTATTATTGCAGATCACAGAAAGAACAATGTGTTCTATATCACCATCTAAAAGATTGTGCCCCAGTCTGACTGTGGCGTTTGGATGCTTATACTACTGTAGTATAAATAATAATTACACACAAAAATATATATTACAAAATGTTATGGTTGAAAAGTTAGGAAATGCCAGCAGTAAGGTTGCCTGTTCAACTTTACTTCAGTTTGAGGGTGGTGAAACACTGGAATGTGTTGCCTAGGGAGGTGGTGGAATCTCCTTCCTTAGAAGTTTTTAAGGTCAGGCTTGACAAAGCCCTGGCTGGGATGATTTAATTGGGGATGGGTCCTGCTTTTGAGCAGGGGGTTGGACTAGATGACCTCCTGAGGTCCCTTCTAACCCTGATATTCTATGATTCTATGATCATTTAATTATATCATCACATACTATTTTTTCCCCAGTGTTTCAAGCTGGGTGCTCAGAGGAAATCACCATTAAGAGCCAGCAGCACTTGACTTTGCAATGTTGACATTTTTTTAATTTAAAAAAAAAAGCCAACTGAAAAAAATAATTGTGTGAAAC